ACTGAGGGTAGGGCTGCTTGGGGTAGGGCTGCTTGGGCAAGTAGGGTAACTGAGGGTAGGGCTGCTTGGGGTAGGGCTGCTTGGGGTAGGGCTGCTTGGGGTAGGTAGGGGTAACTTANGGTAAGGTAGGATTTTAATCTATATTAAGTTAGCTTATATGTAAATATAGACTAGCTATATGGGGCTTGGTTAATAATCTAGCCAATAAAAATTAATATCTTATTCAACGCAACCTTACCCTTGTATTTTAACGCAACCTTACCCCTGTTTTTTTAGCGCTTATGCATTTTTATAGGGAGTTTTAATGCAATCTTGAAGATTGTGCACTTCCGCTAAGTTAGACCTAACTTAAAAAAAGCATAACTATAAGCTAAATTAATAATTAACTTATATAAAGAAATATATGTATAGCTTAAATTTATTAATAAGCATATAAAGAAATATATAGATAAAGATAGAATTGCAGGACTAATTCTCCAGAAGGGAGATATAGTCTACCTACTGCAATACTTATAAGGCTATAAACTATTAAACATTAAAATAAACAGACTAAGTAATAAACTTAACATTAGAAAAATAAAACCTTATAAAATTTTAGAATAGATTGGAAAAGTTAACTATAAGCTAGCTTTACTAGATATAATAAAAATATAAAATCCAGTCTTTTATATATTATAACTTAAAAAAGCATAAATTAATAAAGAAACCAAAAGACCTATTTTAAATAAAATTATTATAGAAAATTAAAAAGAGGAATATAAGATTAAAAACATTATTGCTGTATGCTAAAACCCTAAAACCTAAAATATTGAATATTTTATTAAATAAAAGGGATACTTAGAACTTAAAAACTTATAAAAACCTATTAAATATTTTAGTTCTTAGGCGCTAATAAAGAAATTCCTTTAAACACTGGGCCTAAATTAGCAAGCACTGCATTTTAATTAATTATATTAATACTGCTGTTAAGCTATATATCTACTACTGCCTTTAACTTAGCATGCTTTAAATTATTTAACTTATCTAAAGACTGGGCCCTGCAATAAAGTATTTGCTTACCTTATATATTAACCTATTAATGCTGCTCCTAAAGATATAATAATTATATAAAACTTTTATTTATTTGCTAAAACAATAATATTAACTATTGCTAATACTTTATTAATTTCTATTGTTGCTTAAGAAGTTTATGCTTAGCCTGATGCTTAGCAGCATCTAGACATTCCTTTTTAGCCGCTAAATATTATACTAAGAAATAAATTAGTAAAACACTTATTTATTAAAAGCCAAGAGAAAAACGCTTACCAGCAGCTAAAGAAATGCTATTTCTATTATACATCCAACCTTTATAAGTATATTCTAGATACTTATTATACTTTATTGCCATCTTATAAGGCAAGCTACAGAAGTTATAAAAAGAATAAGGCATAACAAAGATTTTAATAGTCTTAATAATTATTATTGCTGCCTTATAATAATCAATTAAGCTCTTAGGAATTAAAGAATATTATTTAAAAACACTATAAGGCATTATAAAGAAAATACAGTTACTTACTACCTAAAAAAAAAAGAACAGAACCTTATGTAGTCTTAGGCCTTAGGGATAAGGCTAATGGAAGGGGGGCATTGTATTATAAACTAACTATATAAGATCCCTCTAGTATATACCTCTGAGTAAACTATAGATAAAATAACTAATTAGGATAAAGGAAATGTATTCTTAGTAAGATATATACTTACTTATAAGATAAGACTATAACTTTAAGGAAGCATTTTCATCAGGTATAATGCAACTTACATAAGTAATAACCATAGAATGACTTACTATATAAAACCGTTTATTACGCTTATTAAATATAGCTTAAATAGTCAGTTGTTAATATAGCATTTATATAACAACCAGATTGGACTTTTATCTAAAGTTATTAGCTATGTAACTAAGACCGCTTATAAGATCCCTTGCATCTCTCTGTCAACATAAACCCAGCGTTAGAGGTTTATCCCTTAGGAACTAGCTACCCTATACTAGGTATAGGATCAGAATGTTACATAAAGTCTACTACCTATAGTAAGCTTTACTATACCTATCACGAACCAACTACATAAGATCCCTCTGGTATATACCTCCGGGTAAACTATAGACAAGACAACTAATTAGAATAAAGGAAATGTATTCTTAGTAAGATATATACTTACTTATAAGATAAAACTATAACTTTAAAGAAGCATTTTCACTAGGTATAATATAACTTATATAAGTAATAACTATAAAACAACTTACTATATAAGATTATTTATTATGTTTATTAAATATAGCTTAAATAGTCAGTTATTAATATAGCATTTATATAATAATTAAATTAAACCCTTATTTAAAGTTATTAGCTATATAACTAAAACTGCTTATAAAATCCTTTATATCTTTTTGCTAATATAAACCTAATGTTAAAGGTTTATCCCTTAAGAACTAAATTACCTTATACTAGGTATAAGATTAAAATATTATACATTAATGACTTTTATTTAAAAAAATACTTTAGATTTTTTAAATAATTTAAACTACTATAACAACCTTAAGTAACTTCAACACCCCTACCTCTAATTCTATTAAAAATATAGATAAAGACATTAACCTTACTAGCAAACCTAACTAAAATAAGCTTATTATTAAGCAGCTTAAAAAACTTATTAAAAAACTATATAAAAAATAAAAAACACTAGCCCTAGAAAAGGATATTAAAGTTACCTTTAAGCTTTAACCTCCACTAATATATAATAGTAAGCCTATTAAACTTTAATTATTTATTATATAACTTAAGGCTTATTTTTAAAACTTCTTTATTATTTTTAAAAAAGAAAAAAATAAAGTATCTTTTATAGTATTTTATCTTTTAAGACTTGCTCTTAAATAATTTAAATTAATTTAGGATAATTATATAGAATATAACTTTACTGCTAAAAACACTACTAAAGCTATTTTTAAAAGTTTTAATAAATTTAAAAAAGAACTTAAAAAAGCCTTTAAAGATATTAAAGAAATTAAAATAGCTAAAAATAAACTTACTATTATTTATTAAAAAGGGAAGTATTTAAACTATACTGTAATATTTTAAGATCTAGTAATATATATTAATTAAAGAGAATCAGCACTTATTAAATAATTCTATAATAAACTTAAACTTAAAATTAAAAAAGAAGTTTATTAAATTAATTAAAAATAATATAATTTTTTATTCTTTATAGAAAAATATATAAAAGCAGATAATTTACTATAAAAATTAAAGATAGATCTCTTTAAATAAAAAGGGAAATATTATTTAGGATTTTAAGTAAATTAAAGTAAGAAACAATAGAAATTAATTACTAAAGATAATAGTAGTATAGCTAGATTTATAGACCTTAATATAATGTAAAAAAAGAAAAAGAAATTTAAATATTATAATTACAGGAAGTTAAATTATATAACTAAGAACTATAAATCCTTAAAAAAAGAATAATCTATAATTCCTAAGCTAAAAGCAATATATATTATAGATAAAGGTAATAAGACTATTTATTTATTAAAGAGATTAAAATCTCTTGAAAATAATAATAACTATAACTTTTATAAATCTATATTTAAACTTTTAAATATATCTAAAATACTAAATAAAAAAACTAATAATAAAATCCTTAATTAATAACCTGTCTTTTAAGTTAATTTTATAAACCTAGTAAACTTAATTAAAGGCATTGCCTTAGAAAATAATAAAGATAATAAATAATGTAATTATAGATATTACTTTAAAGAAACTAAAAATATTATATAATATTATAAAAATTTTACCCTTAAAATTATAATACTTAATTTATTCTAATGTAATATTATAAATAAAGCAAGCATAAATGTAGAAAATACTTTAATAATATTATATACTTACTTAAATAACCTATAGAAGTAAACCTTAAAAATATAGTATATTATTAAGGCTATTATTATTAATTAAGCACTTACCCAAGGCCTTAATTATAGAAAAATAGTTAAAGAATATAATTATATTAACCTAATACATCTGCTATATTATTAAATTAGCTAAACTAATTATATTACTTATAGATATATAAAATATTTTAAATAAAAAGCTAAAAAGAATGTTTTTTTAATATATATCCTTTAGTATATAATATTAAAACCCTATAATAATTTATACTGCCTTATATAAGAAGCTATTTAATAATATTAATCCCTTAAGATAGTTATCCTAGAACCTCCTAGATATCTAGATAAAACAAGCCTTTTTAAATGCACTAACTAATCTTATAAAGTATATAAATTAAAAAAACTATAGGATTAACATAAGCAAAAAGAGACTAGAAGAGTAAAGCTAGATTGCTAATAAAAAGAATTTAAAAACTATAATAAAATAAAATATTTATAATATATAAATAAAAAGATTAAAAACTAGCATTATTTAAAAAACTATTAAAGTTCTTTACAGAAGGGCAGCAGAAAAACTTATAATACTTAAATATTATTAATTTAAAATATAATAGTAAAGAAAAAGAAAAGCACTTTAATAAAAGAATTATTTTAATAATATTACTAAATAAAAATCTACTTAATGTCTTAATAGACAGTAAGTTAAAAAGCAACTATATATCTACTATAACTACAATATACCTGCAGTTA